TCGTAACGATTCTGTGAGTTCCACCTGCTGTGGTGTAGACAGGCAACCCGCTTAACTAACGTGCAGGAACAGTAACGAACTCTCACGGCGCATGACAATTGTTTTGTAAGAGCTCCGTGTTCTATTCATCGTGTTTCAGCAATGTTAATGAATTAGGCACGTACTTTTGAGAAGCATGATACGTTCTGGCCGGATACCAATATGGAAGGAGGAGGTTGCGCAAAAGATATGCGCGGTGACCACGTAAAATTCTGAAAAATGTACGGAGAAATTGGTAGAAGTCGAGAAGGAAATGTTATGGAATTTGTAGGCTTTGATGTTTTCACGGCGGTGAGACTGGGTTGTTGCGCATTGTGATCCGGTAGAAGTTTGTTGACGTTTCAGAGGTGTTTTCTGTCTCCATAATCAGAACACCTCTGAATTTCTACCAGACTACACGGCGTAACAGTCCAGAAGAAATCCCATCTTCATACTCGCCGTCGTGAGAATCTAAAATGTCTTGATGTGACGTGTTAACGCATTTCTCAGAACACATACCATATTAAATCCTGGTGCGTTTCCAAACCTAGAACAATACCTTTGAAGCTCAGTTGTGAGTATATGTACCCCCTGCTTTAACAGTCGATAACTCTGCATTTTACCCATTCTGCATTTCGTATGTTTCTCAGACTGAACAAAGATTATTGCCTTAAACGACATTTTCATTGCGGTAAGAACTGAATTTGTAAACATTACATAGACGGGCTTACGGGGTTCAAAAGTTTAACGATCTAATGTGCAGTTTCCACGCTTCCTGTGAATACCCGCTGTCCGCTTACAAATCATAGGCCTATTACATAAGCCGCTGTTGCATTTGGTGTATGGTAATGCAGTGACCTTACCGGCTCTGCCAGTTCATCAAACACCCGCAGTTTTCTCACGTCCCAGTTGAAGCAAGAAAGTGGTCTGCTGTGCCGCGACGTTACCAGCCTGTGTCAGTGACGGACTGACGTGTTTATTTACTGCGTGTATTCGGAATTTCAATGGACCCTTGTCATACAATCATAGTTTATGTTAAATTTAAGTTTCTTGCCTCGGTGGAGATGTCGATGTCGGTCTTCTTGGTTGTTACGCAACGTTGTGTTGTAGATAGATAACGACGTTTCGGTAAACATCCTGTCTCCGTATTGTTATTTATCTACAAGTTCACACGGCGTTAGTACTCAGAACACCAACATTGACAATCATAGCGTATGAAACCTGACCTCCCACCCGAAAGGGAGGACACAGATTGACAGTGTTTGAGAACAGGACATTGAGAAGAATATTTGAACCCAAGTGGAAATAAAAGGAGAATGGAGAGTCTTATAGAAATGACTGACTGGCCTACTCCTTAAGACGTGCCAATGAATTACGAAGTACTTAGAATGCTGATTCAACAGTCGGCTTCTCCGAAGTGATGTTCCAATATTGCCTGAAGACCAAATGCAAATCGTCAGCTGGCCTTGAGTTTTATCTCGTCGAATTTGCACAACAAACGTAAGCCAAGCAAGAACCACCCGCACTCGACAACTACTTTTATGCTTTCTTGTAAGCCTTTAACGAGTATTAATTGTTTTCATATTCATTTTTATGCGCCTATAATTTCTGTCTGCATTAAATTTGTAATATGATTGTTATATTTCAAGATGGCTGTCCTCTGAGTCGTTACGCCTTGTAGTCTGGTAGAATTTTATCAATGTTTCATCGCCCTGATGACGGAGGCAGTATGACCTCTGAAACGTTGGTAAACATCTACTAGACTACACAGCGCAACAACTCAGACTACAGAAATCTTAATTTCTTTCCAACATTGTATCGGCATAGCATGTCAACTCTCCCTAATGTTCGTCGTCATTTCTTCTCCAAGCACGTTTTTGTTTAGTCTGGTTGACTTCGTACATTTTATTCGTTTCATACGGGACTGAATTATAAGTAATAAACCAAACAAGGTATCTCGCCCTAATGATGCAGACAATAAGCGTTTCTGAAACGGCTGTCAGCTTCTACAAGACTACACATTTCAACATCCCAGAAGGCGGCCATTAGTAACCACCAACATTTTTGTGTGAAAATTGCGATTGGAGAGATTGCTTGTTATTTGCGACTTATGATTAATGTTCGTCGTCATTTGAGATTGCTTGTTATTTGCGACTTATGAAATTACACTTAAAGTTACGCAGAAGATTGGATTAATTCGATTAAACTTAATTAGCCTTTCCTTTCTTCTTTTTACATCCTTGTTATTCCTTTCAACGACAGAAACTGGATAAACCAACTTCAGAAGATCTGCTATTGAAAGACTGAAACACTCAAACGGTTTACTGCACAATAGGCCTGTACAGAATTATCCAAACCCGTTCTATGTTAGTTTGAAATTCGCACTGGTTCTGATGTTTATTTTCAGTACTAGTTAATTATTATTTATAATATATCAGTGTTATGATAATGTAATATAAATCCGCGAAATTTAAAGTATTTGAAAAAGTTAGTAGGCTATGGTGTGTTAGGTACTGACTCAAATTTTTTTCTGTGACGCCAATAGGCACCTTAAGTCGAAACTATGAACGGAAATTCTGCCAGGTATTTGGTTAACAGCGTAGTATTCAATAGAAGACAGTAGACTTTGTCCAGTCTCTCTTTTGGAGTTGTTTGCACTGTCAGTTAATATATTATGAACAAGATGGCGCTCACAAAGGTCAAACAAGACCATTGTGCTTACCGGAAACACATTATGCCTGATAGTAATTATCTCTAAAGGTAATTTTACAGTAGCGAGTGAAAGTAAAATGCTGAATGATTGCCTTAAGTTCTAGCTGTGTCCAACTGTACTCATTGTTTTAACTGTTAATTACCTGCAGCTGAACTATGACTGTTCCCCAGTTGTGCTCGTGACTTTGTGAAAGTGCTGTGACGCTCACCATAGGACAATTCCTTTACATTCGTCTATGAAGTTAATGTCACGTGTCTGTTTATATTAAAATCAATTTACATAGTACAAACACAGCCAGTTTTGCTTATATCTCTTTGTACAGCCGAATTCAAGTCTATTATCAAGAAATAAGCCTTTGCCACAGACCTATTCTCTTCCAAGCTTCCAAATTCTCCACTAAACAGCCCTTTTGTTTTAATGTGGTATTATCTAACTTATATAAATCGTCATTAAATAAGCCACAAGCCGAAGTAATTTTAATTTTAATATACTAATGGTATTTTATACATGAAAAATTCTTTAATTTATTACTAGTCTGGAGGACGTTGAACAGAATTCCAGTGTGTTATACTGAAAACCATCGATAAATGTAAACAGCCAAACCAAGGTTCTTTCTTAGAAAACGGTAAACAAATTACACTGATAATTGTCTATGCAAAGTATGATACTTCAGACATGTCCTTTACAACAACAATTCCTTTAGCTGTTTCATGAATAATAAAATGCCGTGAGACAACCCAATTTAATATGTTACATAGTTTAATTACAAACTTGGAATGTTTTACTGCAGAACCTGTTCACGTGCGGAACTCAGTAGGTATCTGTGGACACGATTTTGAGCCTCTTCAGTCCATTTCACATTTCCAATGCCCATTCTATGATCCCAGTTCTTTCTATCTTCCAATATCACGATTTTGATCCTCTTCAGTCCATTTCACATTTACAATGCCCATTCTGTGATCCCAGTTCTTTCTATCTTCCAATACTTTCGCTTTCCTAGAGTCCCAGCCACAATGCCGTATCGTTTATATTCCTCCATCCGAATTACATCTGCTTCGTGTTTGCGAGGTTGCACGTTCAGATGTCTTTCCAGAGACCGGTTAAACAAAGTAATGGTTTCCTAATTCTCGCCAATCAGATGTCGGGATAGCTCAAGAAACGACCACTTCCTTCCATATCCTTTCCATTTCATTACCATTCAGAGCAGCTAAACGCGTTGTTTAGTAAACAAAGAATACATTAAAATTTGCCGATCATCTGTAGTTATGAGTAATCGTTCAGCATCTTTTCAAGATGTGGAGCAGAATTCTCCGTCTCTTTCTGTTTCTTGCTTCTTTGTCTTTTTTGTTTTATTGTTTCTTCACCGCGATTGCCCACACGTGAACATGCGCCTTCTCCACGACAGAGAAAGTTGTTTGTGCTAGCTTTTGTTTTCAATTCGCTTTTAAGCCGTAGAACAATGTACGGAGAATGGGATATTGACAGGTGATGGGCTTACCCGACACCATTAATCGCTAGAATAAAAGTACAAAAAAACATGTCAGTATGACAGCAAATCACCTGAACCCGGGAGTAGAGTCAACTCCCGAAACGTCATCTTGCACATTTAATATATCTCAACAATCGATAACGTCCACCAGAATTACGACGTAAAGAATCAACAGCTAACAGAAACCTTTTGATTGTTAGAGAAAGCCTTTCGTCAGTCTCTTGACTATTGCTGCTTACTTTCTTTGGGACAAATACGAATGTTGACCGGATGGGAGAGCTTCTGGGGCCATTCGGCCTCAGGTTACAATAAAGGTATTTCCTTGCATCTGATACGCTCACTAAAGTAGGCCCATGCTGAGAGAACAAGACATTAACTTGATAGGCCCAATGTCACAGGGCCTCGAACGCTTGAGCTGTCCCTTGGATTTCTAAAGGGCTAGAAAGACGGTCGCCCTTGTGACTGATCTTATGTGCCTTCATCTTGAGCATCTAAGTAATTAAACATTTGTCCAATCCAGTGCATGTATTTGAATATCATTTCAAAGTCGTATTGAATGTTTGAAGTGTATCTGACATCCAGCAGGCTGAAATTTCTCATGGTAGGACCAGAAGTTTAAACGCCGCTAATTTTAAGGAATATTACTGTAACGCAGTTCAAATTTTATGGCCGACTTCAGCACGATATATTCAGATATTTTCTTATTTTAGCCATTATAGTGACAGATTTCCAAGTCGGCTCCCGACCAAATTCTGCATGTTTCTTTCTTGTTTTCCTCAGTTGAGCTGTATGTCCAGTCAATCTTCACCTTCTGGTCAGATCAGCCTGACACAAATCAGTCTTTCGACGCCGACTTTCACTTCTGGGATGACTCGCCACAAGAAGATGTGCCTAACCGCAAGGTAGTAAGTGATCTTTTGCTTCGTTTGTGTTGTTCGTCTGTTAAATTACAGGAATGAAGCATGGCCTTTTGTAATATGCAAATTTTTTCTACCAACTGTCAGGTGTCTTTAAAAATTGCTTGGCTGTAATGTGTTCCTGGATTTAACGTTCCTGCGAGATCTTGTGTTTGATATGATACGTCTCACAGAAAAAACAGCCTGTATCTTTGTACTAGGAATAGAACGTAATGCAAATGTTCACGTTATTTAGTTCAAGTCTCAAAGTGACTGCATGGTATAGAACCTTAATTAATCAGTAAATATATATATTCAGATATTCAGAAGATCCCTTGTTACATTGCCCTAAAAAGGCTTAGCACGAGTATTAAAATATCCTGCCACTGGGCCATGCTCATTTCATATCTACCGAACATATTTAGGATTCATTTTTATAGTATTCTTCCATTTACGCCTAGGTCTGCTAAGAGTTCTTCTTACTTCAGTTATAAGACTACACGGTGTGGCAGTCTAGAATACTGGACACTCGCCAACGTGTAAACATCCAATTCCCATATAAACTATAATAATTTAGACGGTAATTTTTAGTAGAACACCGATGTAAAAAAATGGACGCAAAGTTTAAGTTAAACCACTTGAAATCGAAGCTATTGTAAAATGATATATAATAATTATTGAAGCTGCCTGTATAAACATGCACGAAACATCCCACAGAATGAAAAGGAACTTTTAAAGATTCGTAATATAATTGCTAGCGAAGGGGTATTAAAATTGTATCGCAGGGCTACTCCTTAGGTCTGTCCGTAGTGGCTGTGGGCCATTTGTAAGAGCCTGTGGCAGTGTTTTTAAATTTCTGTTACGTAATTTTCCCCTTCATAAATTTTGCTGTTGTAACAACCCATATGTTTTACCTGTGGACACACGTAGGTGTAAACTGACACTAAAAGTTGTTACATTGCTACCTCGTATATTGCTCTAAGTTTGCTGATTAAACACAGTGACAGTTACAAGTAGAATTCCACTCCTGATCTGCACGACAGCTTGTCTTCTCATGAACTGGAGAGTACGTAATGGAAGTTATACATCTACCACTTTATGCCCGTTAAATCCTTGTCCGTGTGCATTATGTATAATAAATGCAGTGTATATCATGGTCCTTCACATGGAATTCTTCTTATACCCTTTTCTCTCCTACGTAGCATAGACGCCTCCTTTACGAGGTTTCATATCGAGTTTTAGACATTTCACAGGGACTTCTTGGACGAGTGATCAGATGTCTGTCTACTTTTCACGATCTATGGAATTTGAATCCAGGCCTGCTCAGGTTGTGTATTCGCGAAATATCTAAACGGTTTAATAAACATGTGGTAGTTACCAGTGGATGTAAGAAATTCATGCGGAACCTCTTGGAAAGTGAATATTTTGTGAAACGAGAATGAGTTTCGTGGAACAGATTCTTTAGGAGCTAATAGTCGCTCAGTCAGTTACGATCCAGTACCGTGTACACAGGAGTACCACCGTATTTCGAAAGAGATTGGAGTGTACTAACTAGTATGGGCTACTATGAAACCAGCGAATTCTGCAGTCAGTAACGATCTATATGCAAATCTAGAGACTGGAATAAAGCACGAAAATAAATTTACGTTTTTATGATATTCTTTTTATTTACCAGCTCCACAAAAAAATTACTTTCTTCAAGTTGTCAACTGCCGGTAAGTTCCGTAACGATGGAACAGCAGCGCCTTGTTGAATGGCGACAGAGCAGAACTCTCTCCGACAGTAACGTATAACGATCCATTCCCACGCACAAGGAACGGTTTCTATAGAAGTGACATTTCATTACGGGTTACAGTTAATACCGTTGTCTTGCGTAAGGAGAATAAATGCCCAACAGTTTTTATATCATTACAAACTCTAATGTTTCATAAAGCTTGTGCCAGTTCTTTGGCATAAAGGGTGTAGTCATGTCTAACGGTTGCGGTACAAGAGAATGGTGTGGGTTTTTATTAACAGTCATTTCCATGTAGAGGAAAATGTTGTGTGGTTTGGGAGGAGATGCCTGTCGACTTATGAAGGAAAGGAGACAACTTCCTTCTTTGCTGTCATCCCACCATTGTTTACGTCTAATTCTGTTGTAGTTTTGTGCCGTTACATAATCATAGTCAAAGCCGGATATGAGGTTTTCACGGCGGATTAGTCGAAATATGTCTGTCTTCTAGATGGATGCAGCAAGGACCTCTTCTACCAGACTATACGGTGCTACAACCCAGAAGACAGCCATCTTCACAGTAATAGCAGTCTCAGGTTACGGCTCGAGTTTCTCGTAGACAGAGAATTAATATTTAAGTTCAGGGAAAGGCAATGAAGTGCCGATGTTTTATAGCTGATACATCACTGATTATCCCTAAACGTTTCTAATCTAACTAACCCTCTTGGGAAGAGTCCTTTTTGAGAACCTAATAGTTAGTCAAAAAGTTCCCAGCTTTTCATGAAACCCAAAGGTTTATTGCGGCATTCATAAGAGCTGGACACTGGTCCTCATCCAGAAATAGGTTAATCCAGTTCACACCCTGCCACCTTATTTATTTTAGATTCAGTTAAATATTATCTTCCCAACTCCTAGTTTTTCTAAATATCTCTTTTCTCCTGGTTTTCTTACCAGAACTTTTTTTATGTATTTTCATCTCTCTAGTGCGTGCTACATGTCCTGCCAATTTCCTCCTTCTTAAACTTGTTTTTGGTATCATATTAAAGGATCTGTATATAGTACTATGGTATTAAATGAAGCCTGCATGTCGAAAACCTTCGGAATCTTAAAAGTGTACCTCATCAACGATTGATGAGGTACACTTCTAACACTTTTAACAGCCATAAGAATTGTGTTTACAATTAGAGAAGGATTTCTCGGTCTCCAGAGCAATCATGAACCAACTGCCCTCACATGAAGAAAGTTAGCTTGCAGTAGGGTGTTTCGTAACCATGATGATTTACTTAACAAAAGAAATCTGATCTAGTATTTTTAAAATTAATATGAAAATTATGCACGTATTCCTCCGTACACAACCCGCGCCCACAACAGCTTTGTCAAATTAAGCAACACGTGGCGAGGCGTGTCTGCTGTGCGATTACATGTCGATACTGAAAAAGTCGCGTCTCGCTGTATGTAGAGTGCGTCCCTGTCGCTGAATACACAATGAAACAATGAACGCCTTTTGTGAGTGTGGTTATGTAACAGGGCGATCCTACCCTTGTTGCTTGTGTGCTGTGTAATATGTAACTGTAAACGTCTCGTTCTGCGATGTTGCAACTTAGAAGACGAACATCGACATATTCACGACCTTAGAAGCCTCAAATCTGTTTACTCCAATTGTTGGTGGTTAGTTCAGCTGCTGTAATACCTCATATATGTGCACAGAGAGCCAAATGTCGGACATTTTGTGACAGGAGAAAACTGAGAAACATTTTCCAACATGTTGGAGTGATTTTCAAATTATCAGACTCGAAATCTCTAATTCCGTGCGGGCACCCTCATCTGTGTGCTTGTGTGCGTAGAATTTTATTCATTTTCGCGTGTTATGTGAAATTTGTTAGATCACGCAGAACAGTTGCCTAGATTCTGGTCAGGTTATGTTCTGCTTTCTAAGTGTTATTTTCACAAAGTGGTTATATAAAATGAACGCGTATGGGGAGGGCGTGTCTTTCTGGTCCCATATTCATCTCCGAAACTATTCAACAAATTTCGGTAAAATTTAGTATATAAATTTAATTCGTATCGGTCCAATATAATAACATTGGTTTCCAAGAGGCCGATATCAGGCTTACTAATTTTTTAACAATCCATTGTACTTAGCATATGTATATAGCATGAAATATAAGTCTGTATGTACAAGATCTACAACTCTTATCGATGTTTATCGCTTTGTTTTCGACACTATGTGATCTTGTAGGTGTTTACCAGACTTTCGGAGGACTGTATTGCCTCCATCTTTAGGGTGCTACTTAGTAATTATCCAATCTCACGTCACAGATTCGGCAAGAGATTCAGTAAAGAATTTGCGACGTAGATTCCCTTCAGATACTTGACTCTATATTGCGAGGGTAACAAGAACCTTGTACTTTAGTAATCTATTTCTATGTACGTTATATAATTTCCATTAGTATACATTCAGAGTTATGGCAGAGTATGGTAACTCGAGCTTCCTTCTGTCACCATATTAATTATTTTTATGAAATTTTAAAGTTCTTTACGAACAAATCAGAACAAAGTTTCCTATATTTGTGTATTTCGAGAAAATGGGTTGTTTCTTCAGACAAATTAAATTTTGTTAACGTTATTTCATAATTCAACAGAACAGTCGAATATGTAACTTAAACATAGTGGTTAGATACTGTATACACTTACCTGGATTAAGATTTCTTCATTATAGACTTTAGTCGGATTTTCAAATTTGATGTTATGGTAAATGTTTACGAAGCGGAATCAGTAGAAGTCACAAGGAAGGATGGCGGCCGTAGATATCTTATGACGTTGCTTGATCCCACTTTCACTTGTTTAATGCGTTTTGCTTTTATTTGACCGATTAATGTTTATTAATATCATTCCATTTTAATTAATCCTCTTCCTTTCGTTTGCGAACTTAAGTTTCTTGAAAAACTAAGAGTATGCAGTATTTTGTTTTAATTCTGTCGAAAATTCCATTTGTTAAATGACCGTAATCTGGACAAATAAGTTTGAATGTGTTTTCTGTCTGGACCACTGTATAAGTCAAATCAACATAACCTCAAACGATTTAGTTTTTTTTTCTGTTTTACTGACATTGAAAGTAGTAGCTATTAATGTCTGTCAGTTATTACAGCCGCTTTGTGTGTCTTGTTACTGTGATAGCTGGTAAAGTAAAATGTCTCTGTGATTATCGTTATTTTAAGAGTTTTTTTTAGAAAATAAAACTACGTTACGTTTCCATCATGTCTCTTCAAGTTGAAAATTTCTCGAAGGAATGTGACTTATAACATTGTCGCTTCAAACCAATATAATAAACTTTTCGTATGACTAGAAACAAATCACATTTGTGTTTCCAAATTTAACTTAAAATAAATGTGTTTAATATCAAAATCATTCGTTCAGAAAGAAGGCGTCCTTCCACTATAATCCAATTAATTGTGTAGTCTTGTTATTTTCTTCCGACGCTGCGAGATGGTTCTTATGTATAGATGTCCTCCTCAAGATGGACGATACGCCATGTTTTCAAGAGCAGCTTGTAACTGTCACTGAAGCGGGTTTTAAAAACCGTTATCTGTCACACACGCAACAATGTGATGGCACTTTTTATCCATGGCAAGTATTAATACTTACTTAAATCACACATAACATAACTGTCTTGCATCGAGTCTTGCGTTAGCTGTGGACGAGTTCAGAAGCTGTGAGGTGTCACTGGTTCGCTCAGCAAGAGGAGACTAAACAAAAGTTGAAAGTTCTCAATAATCTAGGGAAGCGAGTGAATGTTCATGTGAGAGCAAAAGTAATGGGGGCTTCAAGCTTATTCCCCGCTACTCTTGCAACTTCTGCTTCCAGGCCAGAAAGAGAGAGTGACGTTACTACACGTTGCGAAAACGTAGCACCGTTTTCACTTCTCTTTAAACAAAAACTTTTCACGTTATACAAGGAAAAACATGACGAAGGCAATGTTTCCTAAATTAAATACATTGTTTTCATGAAAGACTGCCTAACTATTTATTGAATGTGGTAACACTAAACAATAAAACAAATGGTGACTTACAAATAAATAACAGTGTATTTTTTTTAAGATGACTGTCTTCTGGGATGTTATACTGTGTTATTATTATTTAGTGTTCTGTCTGACGACAGGTCCATATGAACAGGATCCTTCCATCCTTTTCTCGGACTGGGACCTGTTCATATACGTTCTTGGCAGATGATCCAGAAGTGGTTTGCCATTGCCTTCTTCTGTGTGTGAATGGAGTAATTGTTGGGATGCCAATGAGGAAATAAGCTCATCTAAAACGTCGGTCAGTTCCTACCAGACTACACGGTGCGACTTCCCTAGAAGACAGTAATTTCAGAAAAAAATCCGCATTCGAGAGTTGAATTATTGTTGAGGCTTTCAAGTTAGGTGATATTTTCGTACTGTTTTGTATTACATAACATAAGAACTGAAATGTCTTCATTATTTGTTATAAGTAAAGAATGTCTTATTTGTTTGGAAAAGAATGCCCAGATTTTATTTGCAACAAAGACTACTTTTATGAACGCTATGAACATATTTATCCTTCCTCCATCTACCTCTATTCAGCAGAGATCTTGAGAAGCTGAGAGTAGTTTAGCCGGTCAACTGGTCAAGAAGTTCCTCGTCTATTACGGAATCCGAAAATTAATTCTAATCTTCACAAAAAGCAGTCACCTCATCCCTATCCAAATTCAGATTAATCCATTCTACACCCTCACACGCTACTTCCTTTTCATCAAATGTTAGCATCCTTCAGCTCCGTCTTCTTCCCTTCAGTTCATCCCTCCACGTGTGTTGTTCCATGATCTATTTGCCACTGGCATAATTTTCTTATAGACTGAGAAATGGCAAATTCCCGTATCCCTGGAATTTTTTATGAAGTAATGGATACAAAATGTGTGGATGCGATGAATATACCAGTTTTTACATTTCCTGTCATATTAAAATCGTAGAGAACTATAGGATTGTAAGTGACATTGCACACATCATTTAGAGGTCATAGATATGTCAAGGTCATGTGAAGGTCACAATATATACTCAGTGACTGATTTGGGTTGGGATAGATTGCGTTAGGTTAGGTTAGGATAGGTTAGGTTGCGTTACGTTAGGTTAGCTTGATTGGGTGCCGCTGAAATATCGGATTTATATTTTGCCCATATTTTGTCGCCCTCACATCTTCCGAACTGTAGGTATCAGAGTGATTATTCTCATGCCACGTTGAGGTCACTGTTGGGCCAAGGACAAGACAAGTTCACGAAAATATCCGCCCAGTAGTTTGATGATTACAGACCTCTAAATATTTCAAGATCATATCAAGGTCGTTTCTCTTTTATCTGCCGAACTGTAAGTAACTTATTTATCACATTCATGAAAATTTGAGGTCACAGAAAGGTCAAATCCATGGGAAGTCCACCACAACATTACACCAAGGGTTTTCCAGATAGAAGCTTCCAAAATATTCAAGGTCTTTTCTGGATAATTTTTTCCTACCCTTATTTCTGCCGAACCGTGCTCATCTGTGTTACCAAACTCATGTCAATTTGAGTTCACGCATAAGGTAAGGCCATGTCAAGGTCACGAAAAGATCAGCCAAAGGGTTTCCAGGGTGGACGCTTCTAAAATTTTCAAGGTCATCTCAAAGTCGTTTTCTCTCATGCTTATTTCCGCCAAACTGTAAATATCTTGTTGCCCATATTCATATCATTTAGTTGTCAAGGACAGGTCACTATCATGTCGAGGTGCCGGCCAAATCGGCATAAGGGTTTGCTCGATACACCTTTCTAAATTTTAGTGGTTGTATTTGGTTAGGTTGGGTTAGGTTAGGTTTATTTACGTTAGGTTAGGGTGCTTTGGGTTATGTTAGATTAGTTTAATTTAGGTCAGGCCAGTATGTGTTGGATTAAGTTAGGTTACTTGATATCTGTGCAAATACCTTATTGCCCATATTAATAACATTTATTTGTCAAAGACAGGTCACTGTCATGTCAAGTTCCCGACCAAATCGGCCTAAGGGTTTGTTTCATACAACCTTCTACATTTTTAGTGGTCATATTTGGTTCCTAAAGTAACCTAACTTAAACCAAAGAACCCTATCCTAACCTAACTTAACACAACCTAATTCATTGGCACCATTTCTGCGATTATGTTGTATGCCTTTGTATCGGTCAGATCACTATCGGAGCATTTGAAATTTCAAGGTTATTTAAACGACATCCGAATTTGTGGAGAACCGTTGACCTGGTAAAGGCCAAGGTCATTTATAGGTCAGTACATCATTAAGTCAACATTATATCAAGGTGGGGCCTGTGCCAGTCGAATGGTGTGCCGAATGGACGCGTTTTCAAATTTTCAAGGACATTCGAATTTTTGGAGAACAGTTTGCCTGGGAAAGGCCAAGGTCATATCGAAGTCGAGCCATGGTTACGTCTGGGTCCTGTCAGGATCACAGCAGTGTCAGTCTAAGTCTGTACCTAATAGAGGCGTTTTAAATTTCAAGGTCATTCCAAGGACATATTTGTCACCTTGACGTGGTGGGAAGGCTCAGTAATTCCAATAATTTGGATGACCAGAAGAAAGGGTTAAATCAATGTGCAGTCCGTCAGGGTGTAGGTAGGTTGTATCACTCAAAACGCACAGATAAACATCCAGCAGGTAGAGAAGAAGATGCAAGAACTTCTTCTGACGTGGGTGAGAACATAGTAATGCCCTGCATGGAAGGTAATGGTTATAGTAGGAGAATTGTACCAGCATAAAATTTAGTACAGTAATTTACGGTTTAGTAAAAAAAATGGTGCAATAACCTAGACCCATAAAGTCTAACACGGAATGTAAACATGGCAATGTAATAAATACCACTACCGCCGAATTATTAGTAATGTTTACGTATTGTCATTTCTGTATCATCTGATAGAAATGTAGTTCTTAGAATACGCAGATCTACTGATTGAAGTACAGACCATGTGAAATGTGAAGGGAAATACGATACGTATATTTCTTTGTGCAAATGCAAGATGCTTATGACTATTTCAGAAGTATTTAGATAGCATCTCTCGTAAACACTTCAGCGTAGAACTACAAAAGACGTAATTAGGAAGATTATAACGTAACAACGGACAGACACCTTGTAACAGTGTGAAAGTAATAATATTGATAATTTAACGGTCTTTAGGGATTGCTTTATATCGTCTTGTTCAGTCATCGTCAGATGCCGGTTATTCTGAGAACCATATGGATCCATTATTTAATTGCGACAGACATGACGAGTTAATGCAAATGTCTATGCCTTGTGCATTGTAACGCTTCGTGGAAATTACACAAGATATCGTGTTCCTCCGAAAGTTCGGTATTACCCATAAGTCCACACGTCATTACAACCCAAAAGTCAAACATCGACGTCCTAACGCAGTGAGAAGGCCAGATCTCATTGTAGCAAGTGAATACACATGGCACCACTTAGTGGATACTGTTCTATATATATAAAAAAACATGCTAATCGAATACCGTAATTCCGGTATGGTGCTGTAGGACAGTGACCAAATATATATTCGATCATTGTTCTACATCTGTTGGGGAATAAATAAAACAGGATAGAGTGTCCTTGTTCGTGGGAACAATAGAACGGAAGGTTTCAACACTCGCTGAGTCCTGTTGAATAAATTTCTGTATGTGTAATAGCATATAATTGTTACTGTGCGATCATTTTACGAACGTCGGTAAACTTCTACCACGCTGATACGAATATGCATATGAATCTTCCATTATACTTTAATTGTATGCGCTTTGTTCAAGGAAAGGCAGTAAAACTGGATTAGTGACGAAGAGGCATATGCATCTTCCATTATGCTTTAATTTTATGCGCTTTGTTCAAGGAAAGGGCAGTAAAACTGGATTAGTGACGAAGATCAAAACGCTTGTGATTTCTAATGTGATACAGATGACCGTAAGATCAAATGCCCAGAACTGTGTGAAAGTGACGGTGATCTGAACCCTGAGGCACAGATCGCCATAGGCCGTTGGAAAACATCAGCTAGCACTGCCTACATTGTGAAATTGTTGCTGGCTTCGACGGATGATTGAATGACCGGAGATGTCTTGGAGGCGTTCTTACATTCGTTCACGAATCCAGTGACACTTGGCCGCCCTACTTCTGACGGCTATGCAAGGTAGCGGCTAATATTAATAATGATATTCACAACGAAGCCTCGTGAACGCGCTCGGGGCGTAGCGGGTCTGGCTAAAACTGTGTTTGTTACTCCCTTACTTGAAAAGAACAGATAAGTTTTACGCTGAGGACATGTAATTACGCAGATTTGGTGGTCTCATGTAGCAAAATTAATCTGATAATGCGAGAAAGGGCAAGGGAAAGCTTAAACTCACATTATCTCAGCTTATTAATGTAAATATTTCCTCTCTCAAAATTGGCACTAGGCCTGAATAATACAGTTTATCTATTCATGTGCTTGACAGAAATCAAAACGAGGCCAATTATAGAGCAACAGTACATGATATGAAATACTTGTTATGTTGTAAAATCTTCAAGTAACTTTAGAGATTAGAAATGAAATTGAAATTCAAAAGTAAGGAAGCCCTATTTTACAATGCGAAACCTGCAGTGTTGTGGCAAAGAAAGTGTAAAAGGAAGTCTTGTTATAAATACTTTTATATAAAGTCCCTAACCAAAATATAATTGTTAAGTCGACTGGATCAGCGAGGACGACTAGTGCCGCCTGTTATTTATAGATGAATTATGGTGCAAATTTGGCACCAGGTAGTGAAAGGTCTGCAATCCTTGATTTAAACTGAGGTGTAGTGCGACTTAATTTAAACCTTCCTATTAACACATTAAAATTGTGTAATTTTTTTCAGCGTTGATCAATTATTTAAGCAACAGCAATTAATTTTTCAAAGTCGAATTACAAAAAAATCCAATCGATTGAAGCTTATTTTTTACGC